ACTCACCTTGATGTTCCTTCCCCCCAGCATGACAGAATTCATCTGCTCCAGGGCCAGCTGGGCGGCTTCAGGAACCTCATATTCCACAAAGGCAAAGCCCTGGGAAGGGAGGAGACAATGTCAATCACTGCAGTTGTGTCAATCTAACACAGCCACAGCTCAATCCCTACAGTGGAATTCATTCCCACCACCCCAATTCCTGCTCATGGCCCAGGACTCCTCAGAGCAGATTTATTTACAGCCAAAATTTGCYTGCAGAGTTTACACCAAAGGCACCTGATTGAAGCTTTTCAGATTCTGAGATCCCACAGCAAAACCCAATCTCACTTTAGGGTTGCTGCCCCGTCAGCACTTCCAGGAGAGCTTCAGGTTGGACATCAGGAGGAATTTCTTCACTGGAAGAGTGGAGTCCCCATCCCTGGAGATTCCAAGGAATGACTGAGTGTGGCACTGAGTGGGGTGTGTGACACGGTGGGGATCAGGCACAGGGTGSATTTCATGGTCTGGGAGCTCTTCTCCAACCTCAATGATTCCATCATTYCATGAATTTCACCCCACACAGAGTCCTGCCCTAAGCAGAGCATGGAGCTGCAAACATTCACCTCCAGKGCTAAAAGGAACCTGTGCCTCTCTAGGCTGCATCTGGAAAGCCTTGAAGAGAGGAGGATGTTCCTTGAGGGCTTGGAATCATAGAATAATGGAAAGGTTTGGGTTGGAAAGGTTAGAGCCTGTCCAGTTCCAGGGACACCTTCCATTAAATCAGGGTGCTCCAAGCCCTGTCCAACCTTGAACACTTCCAGGGATGGAGCAGCCACAGCTTCTCTGGGCATCCTGTACCCTCACAGGAAAGAATTCCTTCCCACTATCTCATCCAAAATTCTGCAAAGCTGCTTATTTTGTATTTAGGATACATGGCTAAAAGAAATGTCCCTGCAGCAAACCCCAAAATGCCTCATCACCGGGGCATCAGCAGCAGCTCTCACTGGCCCTCAAGGAATGCCACCCCTTCCCAGTATAAGTCAGCCAAATCCAAGCAATCCCACGATGATTTGGGTGGGACAGAACCTCAAAGCTCCCTCAGATGCAGCCCAGGGAAGCCACCCCACCTTGTGCTTCATGGTGACAGAGTCCCAGGACATGTCAATGCTCTTGATGGGCCCGAAGGGGGCGAAGGCCTGGCGGATGGTGTCCTCGCCCAGCTCGTAGTAGATGGAGCCCACGTAGACCCGGCACATGATGGCGAGAGCCCGCTGCCTCTGAGCTGCCATCTGTAGCGAGACAAGGACTGCCTGGTCAGTGCCAGGCTGCTCATGCCCGTGGGGCATCATCCCTGTCCTGCTTCCCTCCCAGGAGCCACCCCCGCGGCAGCTCCGGCACGGCCTCGGCACGAGGATTTCCCTGCTCGCTGCACGGGGTGCTGGAGCTGTTCCTCAGCCTGATTTCATCTCCAGCCAACCTGCACGAGGAGGGAAAGCCTTCACTGCAGGGCAGCTTTCCCCTCAGGCAGCAAAGGGCTCAGCTCTGGGAGAATCCCTCCCCTTCCCCCTTTCCCGACAGCAGAGATCCATCGACACTCCCACCCCCACCCCATCCACCCCATCCAGCAAAGGGACTGCAAATGGGAACCTCCCCCCATCCCTGTGGCACCAGAGCCTCCCCCCACCCCGCAGTCCAAGGTTCAGTACTGGGCACCACTTCCACAACAACAGCAAAGTCAAACAGTGGGACTGGTGGGAAGTGTGTGGTGCCAGTACTCATCCCTGCCTGGCACCACTGACCCTACAGGCACAGCCCCAGCACGGGCTGCTGCACACAGGATCCTGCTACCGTGTCCTAAAKCTGCCTGGAAACCTGCTCGGGAGACAATTCCAGCCATTGCTGACAGAAGGGATCCCAAAAGCAGAGCACAGGGTGGCCTTGGTGTCTGTCACCCCCAGAGCAGCTCTGGAGCTGCTGCTGCTGCTGAGGGACGTAGCCCTGGAGCCCCTGTGGGCACAGCACGGAGCTCTGGAGGGGTCACTGCAGGGGAGGGGATGGCTCTGGGACACTCCTGGGGCAGGTACAGGACACCTGGGACAGGAACAGGACACCTGGGGTAGGAACAGGACACTCCTTTGGGACAGGAACAGGACACCTGGGGCAGGAACAGGACACTCCTTTGGGACAGGAACAGGACACTCCTTTGGGACAGGAACAGCCTGTGCAGACAATGTGCAGTGGGGTGATGCCTCTGGTCCTGCCCAGCACCACCCCAGGCAGCTCTGAGCACCCCCTTCCCTCCACAGCACCCCCAGAGCAGAGGGGCTGCA